ACTCATGGAGGCTACAAAACTAGGTTCTCATTACACAAGATGCTCTTTGGACATAAGTGTACATAAAAGCCCATATTTTATAAAAATATTTGAGATCAAATGCTCATGCAAATCAGCTGGCTAGGCACAAATAGCAGCTGATATTTGCACTTAAAACTGTCATTATGCATGCAGTAATATGCCTAATTACATATTCAGTTTTTTTGCAAATCTAAGCTACAACAGGTCTGGAGTTGTAGTCATACAATGTACCAAGAGGAGTGGGAATGCTTTAAAGAAATCTCTGGTATTAGACAGCTCTGAAAGGCCCACAAGAGAACATCTAGAGGTTGGACATTTGCCAACCTTTTGGAAAATAGAAGGCTGGATTCTAGCCACTGTAGATATGTTAAGTTAGTTCTCATGTTAGCACAAGTAAAGAATAATATACTGATAACATGGATTCTTCTCATTTGAGATGAATTATCCACTCATAAATTTACATTCCTGAGAAGCGACAAGCTGCATGTACCATTTTAAACACAAGGAAGGCAGTACACAACCACAGCCCTCGGAAGGTAGAGCTGCCCCATTATCTAGCTTCAGATTAAGTCCGAACTGAGCCCAGTGGTCAGAGTCTGAACATTCCAGCATGCGAGACGCTTGATATTTCTGGCTAGTAGAGATCACGCCAAAACCTTTGGTGCGTATGCCTAGGCAAGAATTTGGAGGAGAGAAGGCTGCCGTAGACCATCCACCCCCGCCTTTAGACATTTGGGACAAAGTCCGAAGGCCAGACTGAGCCCAGACATCCGGTGCCTTGATGGTTATATAGCTTCTGCCAGAGAACAACAGATTAAAGCTGCTGTTGGCTGCCCAACGCCTCAGCTAGGGCAATGTCCCTTAGCCTTTTTCCAACCAAGGAATTGCCCACAAGGCAGCAGGCACCAGAGCTTTGAGGTGCCTTAAAAGTTCACCTTACCTGGAGGTTGCAATATTGTAGAATTTTATAGGAGCTACCCCACCACAAGAAGCCCCCATCACACTGCCACAAATCCTCCAGCTGGATGCAGTTTATGGTCATACCCAAGACCAGTTAAAACACATGTTAACTGGATCTTCTGCATTTACATGCACATTCTTCAGACAGTAAATATGAGGAATTAATAGCTTGCTCTAGATGCGTATGCACTTAGAGCTTGGCATAATCTTTCAAGAAGTGCAGTACCAATCTCATGCTACCAAATGGCTATGTTAAAGTCAGTTAGCAAATCTCAGGTGGATATAGACTAGATTTAGTAAATATATCCCAATTAGTTTAATTGGCTGAAAATTATCATCCAACTCCCACCTCATATTTTCTCA